CAGAATCCGCCTTCTGCCCCTCTGTTCTCCGTTGAGGTTATGTAGTACCACTTATTTTCTGCTAAGATCATTTATGGCAAGTAATGTTAGTCAACATGGGCAATCTTTTAGCAGCACACTGGCACGTAAAGCGGAGTTTGGGGAGCAGATCACCTGGCAAAGTTTCAGGCAGGCGGTTGAAAGGGTTCACATCTGTTATCACATCTGCCGGAACAGAGCGTCCTTCAGCCATGTACTTCATGTACCTGAAAAGCTCCTCATGTGTCCAGGATTCATCCAGAGCGGCGGCAGCTGGAGGACACATCTCGAGCAATATCGGAGAAAGGTGAAATTGCTCAGCGAACAAACTTCTTCCTGGACCGAGCACAAACAGAAAGTCAATGATGGTAACAAATTATGGTCAGCAAAACCACGGACGAGATGGCAGAGACTAATCCATCAGCCTGCAGACATGTTATTCTACTTGGAGTCCTCGAAATCATTGCGATGCAAAGGACTAAGGAGTAAAGACAATGTAATGGATACCCAAAAAGCGGTAAATCCACACCAGTTTTCTTTGGTAACTCTCTCAAACCAGACCCGACACAACCCAAGTTTTCATTTCCAGCACCCCTCTTGAACAAGAACTTCAGAACCAGAATCAGATGCGGCCGTCTCAACCGGCACACCCGGCAGAGATCGGACCAAAAATGATCCACAAGGCAATCGAGCGCCATGGCCATGAAGCACGGGGGAGCTTCTACTGAAACTGAACTCGGAAACTATCCGCCGTGTAATAACAGGCTAGAGACAACAGCGGAAACGCGAACCGATCGAGCTAAACGGGATGCGCCGAAGTCGAGATGAGAACTAAGAAACAGCAGCGTTGAGGGAATTGAATCACACAGAATTCCTAACCTGGAGGAGATGATGACGGAGAAGAACCAGAAGGAGGAGAAGAAGAACGAACCGGCCACAGCTCAAATTCCTTAGCAACTACTCAACTGAGAAATGGGCGGGGCGCGCGTATTTATAGGCTGCTCCTGAAGTGCAGATACTTAACTCAACCGTGGTTTTTCTTTTTGCCTTATTTTTTTAAATCCAGGACTCAACCATGGTTAATTATGCCACAAGCGGAAACCGATCGAGCCGATTTCAGGCCGGAAGAAGAAATGAGCGGCCCTAGTAAGAAAGCCATCGTAGATGGAAAACTTAATTATGGATACTTTTGTCTTTCAAGTGAAACATCGCGACATCTTTTGAGTTTTCCAAAAAAGCGCGGATAATATTTTGTAAGGAGAGCTGGTACGCCTTTTTGGCATTTGGCCCATCTTCATGTACCAGTCGCGTGGCTATCCTGATAGAATCATTCAATCATTTTATCACGCGGCGTAAATTTCAGGAATGTTTTCGAGTTCCAACCTATTATCGACCTAAGCCATCAAATTGGTTGTTGAATTTCAATGAAATATCAATATTCGAATTTTACAAAACTATAGAAAAAAAAAAGTCATATGTGGACTCAAGTATCAATATTCGAGTATTATGAAAATTCAAGTGCTTCCAATTTTAGAAAAGTCAGAGTGTGCGAATTACAAGTTAAATATGAATTAAAAAGTAAAAGTAAATCCAAACATGTTAAACAATCATGAATGAAACACCGGTTTGTACAAGACTGAACAGAGCTTTTCAGTATGTAAATTTACATATGGGCATTTTATAAATTGTGAAAATTCCGAGTGTGTTGTATTGAATTAGATCTAAAGCATATATCTGTCGGAAAATTTAGCTTAAGTAAAAAAACACAAAAGGTAAAAAGTTCATATTAACCACGATTGGTCAAAGTCTTGGCAAAAGCGTCGCCAACGAGTGGTTCGTCCATGCGCGCCTTCTCATTCGCCGCGCAACTGGCGACCGATCAGCGGGGCCCACCGTCTCCACAGCATAGCTGGTGATGGTGGATGGTGATGTCACGGGTCAGAGACATCATCGTAATCTGTCCAGTAAGACCTCGACACGTTGGAGAGCGTAGAGGTTTGTCCTTCTCGTGCTGATGTCATCTGGGGGAAATTCGCTGGATTGGTGATGATGTGACCCGTGTTATATCTTCGTAAACGGTCACATCATCAATATATATATATATATAAATCTAGATTAGTGTAACGTGGTCGAAAAGTGATTGATTTGGGTCATTTGATTAAATTAGTTTGATCACAACATTTTGACAATGTGACCGGGCGAATCTATCTTGGTTCGGCACAAGATTTGTCCTCGACGAATTGGTAATGAGCAACGCTCGGTGGTGCTGAGAAAATTTGATCGACGAAGATTTTTTAATTTAGTAACATATGTTATTTTCACTAGTAGAATAAACTTATTAATTTTTACCGCGTAGAGTTACCGGTCTCGTGTTTAGCCGCCGGCACCTATAGACATGCTTATTGGATAGGTTTGGACTAAATCCGCTTTGCTCGGGGCTGAACCTCTTAAATCCGTGAAATCAGATATTTAGTCTTTGACCTTGTGCGTTTTTTTTCGAATCAAAATCTTTGAACTTTTGATTTGTTTAACTAAGTTCCCGAACTTGTATAAGTATTCCAATGATGTCCTTCCGGCTCTAAATTTGACTAATTGGAGCACGCGGGTTTGTCGGGGCCCCAAAGAGAGTTTTGGCATTGAAATATAGAGTGTAGTATTCGTGTTGAGAAATACATGAAGTAAAGAAGGCATTGACCACATGTAGACCCACTTTAATAAAATGCTTTTCCTCCGAGATGGTTTGTTCCTTCTCTTGTCTTGATCTGGTTTGTCTCAAGGAGGATCACGTGCCGACACCAAAAGTCCTAGTCAAACAGAACGTTTGGCATAGAGCCAAGAGGTGACCGAGCTTACGACTTAGTTTCTTAATCCACAAGTCGGGCCATCCATCAAAACGAAAACTTCCACCCAAAATCGATTTTGTCATGTCAATCGATCCAATCCACTTTCACTGTTATACTATTTAAATAATAAATCGCATATTTATCTAATAACTTTAGCTGTTAAAATAATTAACAGTGATGCTATAAATCTCACATGGTATCAGTGCAAGAAGATCCCGAAGTCAAATCTTTCCAGATTTCTATTTGCTCTCCTCAATTGCATATTTTCACGCTTTAGGCTTAGCAAAAAATTCAACCTGCGTGTGATAGGGAGTATTAAAATATTTAAAATAATATGCCCATTTCATTTGTATCTTTTCTAGGTAGTCCGTTTGAAGAGCTATATACTTTTTTTTTGGGTCATAAAAGAGCTATGTACTTTCCATGATGGGTTGAGTGTCGAAAGCTATCGCCCCCTGAAAAAATAAGGGTTAATATCACGAAAAATCCTCAAATTGATACATTTATGATAAATTTACCCAAAATTATTTTTTTGACCACAAAAAACCCAATCTGTTATACCCGTGACAATTTTAACCAGAACTATTTTTTTGACAACCAAAAACCTCACACTGGTACACCTGTGACAATTTTAACCCGAACTAATTTTTTGACCACAAAAAATAAAAAATCGGTACACCTATGACAAATTTACCCTCCATTAGTTTCCGTTAAATTTTACTGTCAAATTGCTAAGTTTAATGACACGTGGTAGTTGACAGGTGTACCGATTTAAGGTTTTACCCCTCTATTTGTCACAAGTTTACCAATTTATGATTTTTCGTGATATTAATTTAATTTAACGGACATTAACGGAGGGTAAAATTAATCATAAATGTATCAGTTTGAGGTTTTTAGTGGTCAAAAAATTAGTTCGGGGTAAAATTATCACATATGTACCAATTTGGGGTTTTTGGTGGTCAAAAAATTAGTTCGGAGTAAAATTGTCACAATTATACCAGTTTTGAATTTTTGGTGGTAAAAAAAATTGTTCAAGATAAAATTGTCACAAGTGTACCAGTTTAGGGTTTTTTGTGATAAAAAAAATAGTTCAGGGTAAATTTATCACAGGTATATCCATTTAGGGTTTTTCGTGGTATTAACCCAAAAAAAGTCAATGCTCATCTGGAAATTAGTATGTGAGTGTAGAAGATTAGTTAAAAAAGAGACTAGCGATGATCCTCGAAGAGAGACAAATCATTACACAAGTGACAATACATATACTAAATTGAATCTTAACCGTTAAAGATAGTGACTCCCAATGTTGGTCTCACGTGGATCCGACCAAATTAGATGGTCCAAATTTGATTTAATATATGTTTCAAAATACTTGCTTATGCTCATCATGCCGAATATATGCATGGAGCAGGGCATGAATCAACGACAACTCCAGTTACTAATGGTAGCCTAGTGGCGATAAAGCCTATTATATTTCACGAGTTCGCTAGTTCAATGATGCAGAAGCATCAAATTCCACTAAAAACAATTTGATTCTTTGCAAACAAAGGAGATTTTGGCCACATCACGATCCAATCGGTCTAGTAAGGAGAAAGTGTATACTATGGAATTCTATAAATTGAAGAATAAAGGCTATTTCAACTTAATCAAAGGTTAGAGGGTTGTTTCCCAATTAAGTATGTTTACTAATATGAGTATGTGTTGCAGTTCAAGTTGGATTCCTAATTTGATACTTCCTACTTTAGTATTTCTCAGTGTATACTATGAAATATAGAGTGTAGTATTCGTGTTGAGAAATACATGAAGTAAAGAAGGTATTGCGCACCTACAGACATACTTTAGTAGGATTACACGTGCATACCTGGCCGAAATTATGAGTCGTGTAGATAATGCTTAATAATGCATTGCAAATTGCAATATTTATTGTGTGCAGGCGCAGGAGCATTAGGTGAAGCAGAACTTTGACTTTGGGGGCCTTTTCGGCCGCTATTGCCGGGTACCTGTGTTCGCACCATCGCTGCTTCAATTATTGTGTTTCGATTGCTGCCAAGTCTCTTCCAGAATGATGATCCCATGAATCGAAAGGGTCTAAGAAAGAAAAGGGTGAGAAAAAAATCTAATGAAACTACCGAAAAAACTGCGAGAGGAAACGGGTCGAAGGTGTATTTTATTATTTCGCGAGTGACATGGGGCATTAGACCAGGAGTTCGCTCGATATGGTTGTGGGTGCGGTTGCGAGCATAACCTGTACCATGCTCGTTTTTCAGGCTGCAACGCCTCGAAACTGCTAGTTGTGGAGGCGCCATCGGGGTTGCGAATTCGCCAAACGCCGCCTTGTAAAGACTATTCTGCGGCTGATGTTTCTGCTGAAAACCTGTACAAAACTGTCGCTAAAGGCTACATGACAATGCCTCCTACCACAAGGCAGTGCTGCTGAGTGCAAAATGTTATTTCAGGATTTGGGTCCAAGAGCTGAAACGCCCAATCGGATGCATTTACTCAAGGTCCCGAGAGAGTTCAGTCGGGCCATCATAAGCCCGGAACTTATCACCAAATCTTCGTTGATGAGCCGAACCACAGATGCTTTACTTAATGATCCAAAACATCCAACTGATGTTTTTATATGTACTAAAAGCTCTCAAGCCGCAAACAAACAGTGAAACAGCTACTGTTAAATGAAACTTATGCAGATTAAACAAACCCAGATAGCATACCTTTGTCTTGAATGTTTATTTATTTCACATTTCACCTGCAAGTACTTGAAATCAAGCTAGGCTTGATAAAAACAGATCTGTCTCCCCCATTGAATAAATAAAATCCTAAGCCATAATCTAGTAAATCGTCTCGGGTGGTGGATGCCACCTCAATGTACCCGCGATTATTCCATCAATAGCATAAAAAGCATGTACAAGAATCCAACCTAGAACATGCGGCAGGATTGCTGGCCTACTTGATGAAAACTTTGCCTTTTGGCTGCATGCCCATCAGTGCTGTGAGTACTGGCGAGACGAACTAGAATGGCATGAAGCACAGGTACTTCTTCTGGAGCTTCTTCAATGTTCCATCAGTCTTCGTTCTTCCACCAGGACTAGGAGAAGGCGCTTGGCCGCTGTTTGACCCATCACTACTCTGAGAACTCGAAGTTGAAAGGTACTTCCTCTTGAGCTTCTTCAGCCTCCCATCTGTCTTGTTTCTTCCATCAGCAGATGGTGTCTGGCTATTGTTCAACGGTTCACTGCTCTGAGAATCTGAAGTCAATGGCCGACTGCTGTCCCTGTTGACTGCTTTGCCAGCATCTCTGGCATTCTCTGAATATCTCTCTTCGATAGGCAATCCTGTAAGTTAGCACCAGCTATTCAGGACCCTTCACTAAATGGTGATCTGAATGAAATATTGTACTGACTTGGCAAGGTTTAGGATGAACAAAACAATGGCTTAAAAGGGGGAAAAGTAGATTTTTTAATCAAATTAATTTCCTTGTCGTTAGCAGTCTAAATGCATCGAAATTACAAAATCATATATATAGGGATTCTAACATCATAGGACCTTAAACCACACAATCACTGAAGTTTCTTGATCAGACAGGCAAATTTCACTGCAATGACTAGAACTTAGGAAGTCCTGATGTCAGTTAAGCTGGTCAATGATATTAATTACCAATTAGGCTACATTATTAGCTATAGCTAATCAATCACATATGTTCACATGAACTAAAAACCGTGTTCTCCTTTCTCATACGATGCAGACATAACATGTGCAGGCCTTGAAGGTGATTGTCACCATAAAAACGAGCAGCATCAATGATCAGACAGTACGAACCAGCAGTAGCACCTCTTTATCAAAAACCAGATGCAAGGAGGCCAAAGAAGATACCTGAAATCGCTGCTTGGACAACAATGTCATCTGGTTTTGAAGAATCAGAGACACTAAGGTTGCAACCAGCGTCCTTATGCTCTACATGATCTCCACTTTCAGCTTCTAAGTCCAGCATTGCGTCCGGATAATCAAAGCATTCATCTGACAACATGGTCATGCAGCTTGAATTATCCGAACCGCCGGAAGAAGGCGATGGTGTAAAGAGAAGGTCCAGCAATTCTAAGTAGCCACCAGAATCAGTATGATCCAACTCAGCTGGATTTTCAACAGGTTGAATAGGAAGGATACTGGTTACACGTTGCATAATATTGCAGGAACCGGTGTCAACCTACAACAGATAAAAGTCTTGATAAGCCAGGAGATAGCAACATTCTGGAGGCAGCCGCAGTGAATAGCGTCCATGTAACCAAGCATGAGGATGCAGATTATTACAATAAGCAAGAAATCCTTATTTTCATAGTCTAGACATCCAATCACAAGAAAGTTATGGAAAAGATCATTTACAAGCATATTTCAATAGTGAAGATCATTCTTTTACTATATTATGAGCCAACTGATCCAAGGCACGTATTGGTAGTTACTGACAATCTCAACCACAACTTTCACGAGATCACTTGGCAATTGAAACACAACTATCGTTAACTCAGAACTTCTCTGTTCTTCTCAGACCAATGCGGTAAGTTTACATTTTCTGATCAATTGAACAAATATTCAGTTAGTGAACATAATACTCTTATTTTGATGCTTCAGCATCTTGAAAATTCACGACCGTAAGTCATTCAAAGTAGTAAATTTACATACTTTCCTACGTTAACTAGACGTTGCTAATCAATCTAATTTTATTCATGAACGTAGGAAGAAGCGAGCAACCGCAAAGAAGTCTGTAAGGTGCACCTGCATCTGGTTTGTTACACGTTGCCCGGTAGGTATGTTGAAATTACATGGACGCAGTGAGTAAACGTAGTTTTCACTGTCAGATAGTGGCGAGTTGCAACTGCGGAAGACCAGGCAGAGCGAATTAGCATCCTGCACAAAATCCAACCCAAACTGAACATTAACTGGCAGTATGATTAAGGAGGAGGAGAGGGGAAGGAAAAATGCATCAATGAATTAGCATAGACAACGTGGAATTCGGGTAATACCCTTGCCGGAACAGCTTCTCTTGACACATTCGGAGTTGTATAGTACTCCAGCATCAACCAATTAGTTTTTTCAACATGCGGACCTTGTCCTTCATAGAATTCATGAGTTGCTTCCCAACCAGTGATGGAAGCATCACCATATATCTCACGGGGTTGTCCTCTAGGCTTCCAGAATCCGCCTTCTGCCCCTCTGTTCTCCATTGAGGTTATGTAGTACCACTTATTTTCTCCTAAGATCATTTATGGCAAGTAATGTAAGTCAACATGGGCAATCTTTTAGCAGCACACTGGCATGTAAAGCGGAGTTTGGGGAGCAGATCACCTGGCAAAGTTTCAGGCAGGCGGTTGAAAGGGTTCACATCTGTTATCACATCTGCCGGAACAGAGCGTCCTTCAGCCATGTACTTCATGTACCTGAAAAACTCCTCACGTGTCCAGGATTCATCCAGAGCGGCGGCGGCTGGAGGACACATCTCGAGCAATATCGGAGAAAGGTGAAATTGCTCAGCGAACAAACTTCTTCCTGGACCGAGAACAAACAGAAAGTCAATGATGGTAACAAATTATGGTCAGCAAAACCACGGACGAGATGGCAGAGACTAATCCATCAGCCTGCATATATGTTATTCTACTTGGAGTCCTCGAAATCATTGCGATGCAAAGGACTAAGGAGTAAAGACAATGTAATGGATACCCAAAAAGCGGTAAATCTACACCAGTTTTCTTTGACAACTCTCTCAAACGAGACCCGACACAACGCAAGTTTTCATTTCCAGCACCCCTCTTGAACAAGAACTTCAGAACCAGAATCAGATGCGGCCGTCTCAACCGGCACACCCGGCAGAGATCGGACCAAAAATGATCCACAAGGCAATCGAACGCCATGGCCATGAAGCACGGGGGAGCTTCTACTGAAACTGAACTCGGAAACTATCCGCCGTGTAATAACAGGCTAGAGACAACAGCGGAAACGCGAACCGATCGAGCTAAACGGGATGCGTCGAGAACTACGAAATAGCAGCGTTGAGGGAATTGAATCACACAGAATTCCTAACCTGGAAGAGATGATGACGAAGAAGAACGAGAAGAAGAAGAACAAGAACCAGAAGAAGCAGAAGAAGAACGAACCGGCCACGGCTCAAATTCCTTAGCAACTACTCAAGAGAGAAATTGCGCGCGTATTTATAGGCTGCTCCCGAAGTGCAGACACTTAACTCAACCACGGTTTTTCTTTTTGCCTTGTTCTTTAAATCCAGGACTTAACCATGGTTAATTATGCCGCAAGCGGAAACCAACCGAGCCGATTTCAGGCCGGAAGAAGAAATGAGCGGCCCTAGTAAGAAAGCCATCGTAGATGGTAAACTCAATTACGGATACTTTTGTCTTTCAACTGAAACATCGCGACATCTTTTAAGTTTTCCCAAAAAGCGCGGATAATATTTTGTAAGGAGAGCTGGTGCGCTTTTTTGGCATTTGGCCTATCTTCATATACCGATCGCGTGACTATCCAGACCGAATCATTCAATCATTTTATCACGTGGCGTAAATTTCGGGAATGTTTTTGAGTTCCAACCTATTATCGACCTAAGCCATCACATTGGTCGTTGAATTTCAATGAAATATCACTATTCGAATTTTACAAAATTACGAAAAAAAAAGGAAGTCATATGTGGACTCGAGTATCATGAAAATTCAAGTGCTTCTAATTTTAGGAAAGTCAAAGTGTGCGAATTGCGAGTTAAATGTGAATTAAAAAGTAAAAGTAAATCTAAACATATTAAACAGTCACGAATGAAACGCCGGTTTGTACAAGACTGAGCAGAGCTTTTTTCGCCGAAATTTAAATCTTGATAAACAGATCGTATATAAATTTACATATGGGCATTTTATAAATCCTGAAAATTCCGAGCGTATTGTATTGAATTAGATTTAAAGCATATCTGTCGGAAAATTTAGCTTAAGTAAAAAAGCCAAAAGGTGAAAAGTTTATTACCCACGATTGGTCAAAGTCTCGGCAAAGCGTCCCTTACAAGTCGTTCGTCCGTGCGCGCGCCTTCTCATGCCCCGATCAGCACCGTCTCCACAGCATAGCTGGAGTCGCGATGGTGGATGGTCATGGTCACGGGTCAGAGACATCATCGTAAGCCGTCCAGTAAGACCTCGACACGTTGGAGAGCGAAGGAGGTTGTCCTTCTCGTGCTGATGTCATATGGGGGGGGGGGGGGCCCCAGCTTCTCGGTCGGTCGGTCGTTTCTCCGAAAGCTTCACTAGCGCTAATTGGACCGTACCCGGGGGGATAAGGTCGGATTCTTCGTTTTTAGGCTGGAAATTTAGGAGGACGAAAATGGTGGAAGATGCCTTTGGCCTGCTTGGGACTTGGGCAATTTGAATTGACTAGGGTGGAATCAATTAGAAAACGAAGAAATTCGTTGGGTTGGTGATAATGTGGTCACAATGATTTTAGGCCTCCATGTTGTATCTTAGTCAAAAGTCACATTATCAATATATAAATATATATATATATATATTAATTAGATTAGTGTAACGTGATCGAAAAGTGATTGATTTGAGACATTTGACTAAATTAGTTTGACCATAACATTTCGACAATGTGATCGGGCGAATCTATCTTGATTCGGCACGAGATTTGTCCCCGACGAATTGGTGCATGATGGTGGTTCTAGATGACATTAAGGCTGCGCATGGCAATTATTCTGTGTCCAGAAATAGATTTTGGGCAAAAATGATTCTTTTTGATTATGTGCCCGGAAATAATTTCTAAGCATTTGAAGGCCTTTGGTAACTGTCCAAAATTTCTATTCTTAGAATAGAAAAAAATAGAAATTTGTTTGGTAACTACACAAAATTTCTTTTTATTAATAATATTTTAATAATACTTTAAATTTTTAAATATTTCTTTCTCTTTTTTTTTTCCTTTCTTTCCCCTCCCTTCCTTGGCCATGGCCGGCCGCCGGCATCGGCGATCGGCCACAGGCCAGGGCCGGCGAGGGTGTCGCAGCCCTCGCCGCCGGCCTCGCCTTGGTTTGGCGAGGACTCACCGTCGTGGCTGCGAGCCACCCTTGCCCAGGCAACGAGGGGGACCCTCGCCGGCCTTGGCTTGTGACCGGTCGCCGGCAGCCGACGGGTGGGTCAAAGAACAACAACAAACAAAAAAAAAAGAAACAAACCAAGAATCAATTCAGGAAAAATTATTTCAGAATCAAGAAGCTAGTTTTTTTTGCTTCTTGATTTTGTTCCAAAATTAATTTTGGGCACAATTTTTTACAAAATTGTGCTCGAGCACAAAAAATTTAACAAACGGATTTCTGTTCCCAAATTGATTATGGGAACAAAAGAACAGATTCAGTTACTATTTGGCAAGTTGCCAAACACACCCTTATTAAACGAGATTATGACTTTGTTTCTTAATCCACAAGTAGGGCCATCGATCAAAACGAAAACTTCCACCCAAAATCGATTTTGTCATGTCGATCGATATGATCCATCTTCACTATTACAATATTTAAATAATAAATCGCGCATTTATCTAACAACTTAAGCTGTTAAAATAATTGACAGTGATGCCATAAATCTCATATGGTATCAGAGCAAGAAGGTCCCGAAGTCAAATCTTTCCAGACTTCTATTTGCCCTCCTCAATTGCATATTTTCACGCTTTAGGCTTAGCCAAAAATCCAGCCTACGTGTGATAGGGAGTATTAGAATATTTAAAATAATATGCCCATTTCATTTGTATCTTTTCTTGGTTGTCCGCTTGAAGAGCTATGTACTTTTTTTTTTGGTCATAAAAGAGCTATGTACTTTCCATGATGGGTTGAGTGTCAAAAGCTATTGCCCCCTGAAAAAATAAAGGTTAATACAACGAAAAATTATAAATTGGTACATTTATGATAAATTTATCAAAAATTATTTTTTTGATCACAAAAAATCCGAAATTGGTACACCTGTGATAATTTTATCCCGAACTATTTTTTTGACCATCAAAAACCTCACACTGATAAACCTGTGATAATTTTATCCCGAACTAATTTTTTTACCACAAAAAATTCAAAACCGGTATACCTGTGACAAATTTACCCTCTGTTAGTTTCCTTTAAATTTTACTATCAAATTGCTAAATTTAATGACACGTGGTAGTTGACAGGTGTACCGGTTTGGGATTTTACCCCTCTGTTTGTCACAAGTTTATCAATTTGTGATTTTTCATGATATCAATCCAATTTAACAGACACTAACGGAGGGTAAATTTGTCACAAATGTACCAGTTTGGGGTTTTTAGTGGTCAAAAAAGTAGTTCGGGATAAAATTATCACAGGTGTACCAATTTGGGGTTTTTTGTGGTCAAAAAATTAGTTCGGAGTAAAATTGTCACGAGTATATCAGTTTGGGATTTTTGATGGTCAAAAAAATAGTTCGAGGTAAAATTATCACAGCTGTACCAGTTTAGAATTTTTCATGGTATTAACCCAAAAAATAACAATGAAAAAGCGAAAAGTCAATGCTCATCTAGAAATTAGTATGCGAGTGTAAAAGATTAGTTAAAAAAGAGACTGTCGATGATCCTCGAAGAGAGACAAATCATTACACGAGTGACAATACATATACTAAGTTGAATCTTAATCGTTAAAGATAGTGACTCCCCGTGTGGGTCTCACGTGGATCCGACCAAATTAGACGGTCCAAATTTGATTTAATATATGTTTCAAAATACTTGCTTATGCTCATCATGCCGAATATATACATGGAGCAGGGCATGAATCAACGACAACTCCAGTTACTAATGATAGCCTAGGGGCGATTTAAGCCTATTATATTTCGTGAGTTCGCTAGTTCAATGATGCAGGAGCATCAAATTCCACTAAAAACAATTTGATTCTTTGTAAACAAAGGAGATTTTGGCCACATCATGATCGAATCGGTCTAGTAAGGAGAAAGTGTATACTATGGAATTTCTATAAATTGAAGAATAAAGGCTATTTCAACTTAATCAAAGGTTAGAGGGTTGTTTCCTAATTAAGTATGTTTACTAATATGAGTATGTGTTGCAGTTCAAGTTGGATTCCTAATTTGATACTTCCTACTTTAGTATTTCTTAGTTTGATGTTTCCTAATATAATGTTTCCCAGTTTAATGTTTCCTAGTTTTATATTTCCTAATGTGATGCTTCCCGATTAACGTTTCCTAATTTAATATTTCCTAATTCAACGCTTCCTAATTTGATGTTTCCTAGTTTAGTATATCCTAGTTTGATGTTTCCCAGTTTAACGTTTCCCAATTCAACGTTTCCTAGTTTAATGTTTTCTAGTTTAGTGCCGTGATTCATTTGGTTTTTAATTCAATTCGCTGCTGGTGAACCTTAAAATTCTTTATCTTAACTAATGGAACGTACCTTTATGCCTTGGTGGTGAACTATTCTATCCTAATCTTATTTTCCCTCACTCATCAAACGCTTTCATTGCGTCAAACATATTTAACAATCTCGCCCAAACTCATTACCATCATGCACAGTACAAGAAATTTATGCGGCCCAACTTATTGTGTCTCTTTCGAGGTGAACCACCAATGGGAAGCTAACAGATTACTAAAAAAAGCATGAATGGTTCCTTTGACAAAGGTTGCCAAGCCACTGCGCTCGTATACTGAATTATAGTTAAAGACAAAAAAAAAAATGAAACAACGATCCCAATGAAGCATCTTGCAGCAAATGTGAGAATCATGGATAAGATCTTTATAGTGCGAGTCGGGGCTCTCCACGTCATTTGCTCCGCCCTCTCATCCGATGTAAGAATTTCATTTCTCGCACAACAACGTAAGATTGATACGGTCCGATAATCCTATGAATAATAGATTCCCATGCATCGCTTGTGTGCTAAGGTCGCTTCTCTCCAGGAGATTTAAAGTGTTAAAAATGACATGTCAATGACAGGCCATTTTTCCTTTACTATAGTGCAGTGCATTTTGTCAAACTTGCTTTTGGCACCGCCAGTTTTCTAAAGCTAACCATTGTTTCGGCTCCTGCGCACGCAATGCGTCGTCCGCTGACGCAATGCGAACCCCGTGTCGGACCTTCATGATCCGGATAACCCGGATCCACCGGGTGCGGGTTTCCATCCGACCCGCCACGGATTTCGGGTGTTTTTGTCCCCACGAGTCCACGGCGACATCCTCGGCATCCCATCCTCGACTCTTTGCTTCACAGCACCGGCCCGGCTCGTTCTCCGGCGATGAACGACGGCGATTCGGAGCCTCGCCGGAACCTCTCGCCGTTCCTGGAATCCGGCGTTCACCGACTGGAGGGCTCGGGCGCGGTCTTCGTCGATCCCGTTCGCGTTCTGAACCGCTCTCTCGCGCGGTTCGGCATCTCCCCTTCCGCGTACTACTCTCGTTTCTTCGAGCCCAAGCCCTCCGACGTCGCCGACGGCGGTTCGGATGGGAGGAAGCGGAAGCGCAGGGCGAAGAAGACGCCTCTCGTCCTCAACGAGCGCGAGCGAGTGGCCGCTCAGCGTCACCAGGCGAGTATTGGGCTCGATTTCGCATTCGGTTCCTCGGAAAGCAAGTGAAGCAAGATCTGGGCTTCTTGGTTTTTGTAGAATTTGGGAATTTTGGGAGGTTTTCGAATGAGGGGATTAAACTGTTGTTTGGATCTTTTCTTCTTTTTCATTCTTGCTGTGTTGATAGCAGGAGGCGAGGCCATTTTTGGTTAAGGCGCACGAATCTTTACTTGGGGCTACTGAGCTGAGGTCTTTCATGTTGAAGATGAAGGATGAACTCGCCGCCGCCACGGAAGAACGGAAACCGGTGCCGCCTGGTGTTCCGCCGTCGTTTATCGAGCTCGGGAGGCTCTGGCAAGCTCCTTTGTATGAGATAACACTCAACTTCTCGCAAGAAAAGCTGACCGGAGATGGAGGTCTGCTTCATGTTCCTAAATCCCCTGATTGCTGGTGTGGGTAATTTATGAAAGAATGACATGTTGTGGGAAATGCTAGCTATGCTATATGCTTGTTTCTGGGGGAGAGAAGTGAAGGACAATAGTCTTATAGGTTATATCGGCGAAGTCGAAGCTTTTTGCTCAAGTTATGGTTGAGATTCATGAGCCATTTGGTGCCAAACTCAGAGGATTGAATTGAATTTAGTGAATGGTCCTGATTTTTTGACAGTTGTGCCTCAAATAATTTTCTATATTGCCTGATTTCTGTTGACTGTTGTATGTTTCTGCGGTCATTAAGAAGAGATTCCAACATCGAGTGTCATGCTAATTACTTAAAGAGACCGCTGCTGATCCATATCTCTGTCTCAACTTTGCAATAATTAGATGCTTTTCAGTAATGCGGATTGATTATTACTTAGAATCATAGAGTATGCTTTATGTCAGTCACTACCTCCCCATTTGCTCTTCATTTAATCATCCTTTTATACATCTGGAAAAGATGAAAGACCTTGGTCGATCCACTCTTATTTTAGAGATTTGGTTTGTTTGTTTCTTTGCTTCATAGTTAAACATGAACTGCTGTTAGCAAATGGAGATGACCATAAGAAGTGTGGTGTTTTGCTTCAGGTCCCTTGATCATACACAGCAAAGAGCAAAAAGTGCTTCCTATATTCGATAACTTAGTTCATAACGGAACAAAGGATGATTTGGAGGCTGAGTTCCTTGGCAGTCAATATGTCATTCCTAGAGAAAGTTGCTTCTACATGGTATGTTGCCTCTCAAGTTCTTGCTCCACTTTGGGAAGTGCAATAATGTTTCCTTGAGAATTTCATATTTAAAAAATAGAACCTAGTTTCTCTGACAACCTAGCCCTTCCTTCTTTGTTTCGGCGTGTCATAATTGAAGTCCGACCTGCAGCAGATTCACAAAATGATTCCAGGTAATAGCATGCTTGCTTGTGCTATTTGTTGTTGTGCTATTTGTTGTTGTGCATTGAGCATGTTAAAATAAGCATAGAGATGCAATTGTCAAAATTATCAAGCATGAAGATGCAATGTAATGGGAACGTTGAACCTTACCTGTGGAGCCTATTAGAAAGTATGCTTGTTGTTTTATTTTATACTTTGATCTAACAGTGGCTGAATGTCTGCTAATTTGATGCAGTTGAGGGTGATGCTCGTTTCCATCTTATAGTGATAGATCCACCATGGGAAAATGGAAGTGCCCTGCAAAAGTTGAGGTGCTAATCACACTTTATTTGACTTGAAGCTTTCTGGGTTGAGACTTCGCAATATGCTGTTGATATTTGATGTTCAAAAATAAATTGTCAGGAAATTAATTTGTATTTCTAACTGCAACAGCCTAAATGCACTGTTATTGCTTGAATGCATAATGAACTTATCTTGGTGCAGGTGGTTGTGTTTTTTTCCTTTTTTTTTTTGGTCAGAGCATGATTCTGAGTTTAGTCCATGTAGATATTTATTAATTGGGTCACTGATTTTCTCTCTCGTGAATACAGATATCCAACTTTGCCTAATAAATATTTCTTATCGCTGCCTGTTCAGCAACTTGCTCATAGAGAAGGAGCTCTTGTTGCCTTGTGGGTGACTAACAGGGAGAAGCTCCGTAATTTCGTTGAGAAAGAGCTATTTCCTGCATGGGGAGTCAAATTTTTAGCAACTTTTTACTGGTTAAAGGTGAATGAGTATCTCTCTCTCTCTCGTAAGATCTGTCAATCGTTTCTTGATGCTGAGTTGGTGCTTAATCACCTCAGGTGAAATCAGATGGATCTTTTATTTGTGACTTGGACCTATTCCATCACAGGCCTTATGAATGCATTCTCTTGGGCTTCTGTGACAAGGAGGTAAGACTTGGCACCCAATTGCAGCTTGTCATGTATAGATTGGATTATTTCTCTTGAATTATCTATTTACTTTGTTCTCTTGGTGCTTTCTAGGACATGGATCCTAGAGATCTGTCAAGATTAAGTAATATTCAAGATAAAAGAGTATTGATTAGTGTGCCTGGGGATTACTCAAGGAAGCCCCCACTTGAAGGTACCCCTTGCATATCCGTGTTTAATTGGCTATTGAGATCCATTTAGAAATACATCTTGTGGTAATTAATTTTCTTATTTAAGTACAACATATCTATTTCTATTTTAATATACTTGATAAGATCATTTCTTATCATGCAACTGATGTAATCATAACATTACTTTTTGCATCTTCTGTGCCAGAGCTAGTTCTTGAGTACATTCCAGGGACCAAGCCAGCACGATGTGTTGAATTATTTGCTAGAGACATGAGGCCTGGATGGTTTTCTTGGGGGAATGAGCCACTGCACTTTCAAGAGCTGAGATATTTTCAGAAGAGAGATGCAGATGATGTCTGATGTGGGCTTATATGCAACATTTAGCGAGCACGGGGAACAAATCATCTCTCTTGCTTGCTGTAAGTTCTCTCAATGAAGTATGGTTGCACATGTAGTGAGTCTAGTGACTGACATGTTGTAACCAAATGCTTACTTCAAGGGATTTTCGGTTAACTACGGATGGATTTTATCACTGCCTGAAATTCACCATTTCCCTGGTATTCACCAGATAGAACTCAGAGGAGTTGGATGGACCAGAGAGATGATAATCAGCTGGAGGAGTTGGTAACACTGGGGCTTCAGACCTGTCAACTGGTCCTGTGATGGCCGAGCACACATTGGTTGACAGATCGACAAATTATGGAAATATGCACAGGGGGTTTCTGCTCACTAGATCTTTTTGTTCAGTCACATTATTAACCCATCTGGAGCCAAGGTAGTTTTGACAAACGGCCACCAAGCTGAAGTGGCTCAATAACTCGTGTTCTATTACGGCCTGATTTTGTAATTATGACTGTTAAAAGCGACAATTTTGTAGGTCGAGTAGATTATGAATCTGTTTTCTTTTCTTATCTATTGAGTAGTTCGCTAGGGCCATTTAATGATTAATATTGCGAGAGAAACAGACTAGATTAGTTGATGCTGATGCTATAGAGAGAAAGGGAGGAACTTTTCATTCCTCTCGCTAGTAATGATCTGTCATTTTGGAATTTCTTCATCCCGGCAGCATTATTCCAAAAGGAGAGTTAAAATCTGCTTTCTTTCAAGTTTGGCTTGGGACTTTGTGACATTCACCTTGCAGTGTCGATTCTGTGTCGAAGTTTTTCGCGATCTGTTCCGATTTTTTGCCCTCCGTCCTGTTATTGTAATTTCCCAGATTGAGAATGAACATGTATCGGCAATCTGTGTTCTCAGAGAGAGCCCGTGTTCGCCATGGCTCTGTCGTATTAGCATTAACTATATGCCGCTTATAGATGAAACCTGCTAGCCTGTCTGAAAAGAGATGTAGCACCTGCTAACAAACCCCTTGGCTTATCTCAGATAGACGCTGCTGGATGAGCGTCTCATTAAGTAACCGGACCGGACAGGGCCGGTTCCCCTTTAGTGAAACTGGGAACCGACCCTGTCCACCCAGGAACTGGACTGGACCGGTTGGGGCCGGTTCGATTCCCGGGTTGGACTGGGACTGGCTCTAGACTTTTTTTTTTTTTGGTTTCTTCTAAAATAAATACCTGCACGGTGATTGGGAGGCTGAGCAGGTTCAAAACAAAGGGAGGTGAGCTAAGGGAGAACTGAACTACTGAAGACTCGAGCCCCAATTAGTGCTATAAGGTCTCCTTCGTCGACAACCTAGGACTTGTTTCCTAAATTGTGTTAGGGCCTTATGGCCTTTGTTTCCGTTCGCCTTTTTCTGGGGTCATTCTTGCCTTATGCTTATGAGCCCTGGGCTTCTTTACCTGCACCCAATTTGTGTACTTATTTCTTTTTTGGGGTTATCGGTTCTGCCGATCCGGGTCGGCTCGGTTCTCTGCTCATGGGCGAGACCAAAATCGCGGATGTTTCCCGGAATTCGCAAGAGTTGCCGGTCGTGGAGTGGAGAGGTATTAGTAAACCGAGCAAGGAGGCTCGGAGAACAATCGATACTTTGATTTCTTTAGTGTTCGGGAAGTGCCGTTTGTTAAGTACAAGCGTGAAGGCTGCTGATAGAGCGCTTGTTTCTCATCTCCAAAGATTGTCTGACATCAAGCAATTTTACAGGGAATTACGAGGGAACTCTGATTTGGTTGATGATTAGCAGAACGTGTCGAGCTTGAAAGCTCAGGTACAAGAGAACCAGAGCAAGCTAAGGATTCTTGGGACGATTTCGAACAGGTAGCAATCGGAGATCGACCGGAAGCATAACGAAGAAGTGCACAGGCCCGGCGAGTTTTTTCAGTAATTAGTACGCATGTTGAATGTCTTTTTTTTTTTTAAATTGTTCAAAATGCGTGTTGCATGTCAATGTCGTTGTAGTATAGTGGTGAGTATCCCCGCCTGTCACGCGGGAGACCCGGGTTCGATCCCCGGCAACGGCGCCTCTTTTTTTTTTTAATCTGTTTCGTTGCACTTTTCGTGGTTGAAGGTTGCTAGTTAAAGATCTTGAGATTGGCCCGACATGAGAACTCGAGACAGTAGATGGACTTAGAATTTGTTTGGCATTGGGCGGCCCTCGCGAAGTGTCGGGCGAGTTATAAACCACTCCGAAGGAAGTTTTTGTTGCGAACGGGAAGGAGGTTTTGTACTGGTGTGCCGTGATCAGAACGCATGTCTTTATTTACCATAAGCACTGGTTATGGTACTATGAGATTAGGGTCGGTGCCGGTCATATTGTCGGATGGATCATCCGCGTCGAAAACTTGATGAGCACTTTGTTGGTTCATCATGTCCACAGCTCGGGCTTCAGGCCGCGGATCGATACTTGGTCCTGAAAACCCGAGTCGCGAAGATGCACACAGGTCGAGATTCGATGGTTCTTCCCTTTCTCTGCAGAAGTTAGCACATGTGCCTCGGTCTAATTTTTTCAATCTCCAATCCTGTCTGGTTGTCACGGCGCATCTAGACATTGTCCTCCTTTTGTTTGTGGGCCTGTCGAGACCGTCCAAAGCACGCCTCTGACATGGAGTTCTTGGTTCGAAGTCCAATCTTTTTTACCTTGGTAGTCCTTCAGTTTTGTACCAGGTTAACCCATTCCCGGAGCAAATTTTATAATGAACAGCTTTGATATGGTTACATGGGTCATTGAAGTTGTAACGCATTACATTTGGTTATAATGGTCCCCAGCATATTCGAGTATTTATAATTGGTCTACGAAATCGTTTATATTATGGGACGCAAAAGGGCCTAATTCTAAAAAAAAAATATCAACTTTACCTTGAATGATAATTCTGACTTAAACTTTTTTTTTGTCTCATAAAAAATTACCAATTTTCACTTGAATACCAAATCTGGCCCCATTGACTTGGAATCGTTAATTGTTCAATATGACTATTCCACCTTAGTAATAAAACCACGTCGCTTGCTAGTTGGATTTAAAGCACTAGTCATTGTCTTCTTTTCTGAGCTACGACTTGAAGAAATGTGGATTTATTCATGGTCTCCTTCACTTCACCGGCAATGCCAAAAAAATCTCCAGATCGAATATCTCCGACCAGCCTCCACCGTTTCGTCGTGATACGAAGTTGTGGACCTTTTTTCTGAAACAAGCCCAAGCTCTCCCTCGAAACTTTGGAAATCTACGTCGAATGGACATTAATCAATTGATCTCATTTAATACATCAGGCTCTGCCAGAGTGTTTTGTAACAATCTACAAGATCTCAAATCTTTGATTGACGGGGGGTCATATTTGAGACTCGAGTAAAAGTTAATAATTTTTATCGAGAAATTTTTTTTTAATTAGGATTGTCACTCAAATTAAAAGTAGTGCATTTTTCTTTTGGAATCAGCCCCGCGCAAAAGGCTGCGAACGGCCTTTAAAAAGCGGGGTCCGTGCTCGACATTTAGAGCTCGTCGCGTCGTCGTTTAAAATACGAATTCAACAATTTTAGTCTCGAGGTGTTTTTTTTTTTAAGGGGCTTTTTCACTGGCTTGTTCTTCTCAAAGTACGAGACTTGCCCGACCACATTCCAAATCAGCATCTGGGACAGATTTGTCTCCCGGAAAGTGCCGAACCTCGTCTTGGGTTTGCATCCAATTGGAATTCCCCGACGTACGAGTGGGGAAAAGGGCAAAGCGGGCACATTGCATTGAACACGCCGTCGCAACTTTTGACCATCGAAACGATTCGATGGCAGAACAAAAATTAGATGCGGATGTTGCATTGTTGCTGACCAAAGTGAAAAAAAAAAACCGTGATTCACGGTACTAGCTAGGTGCGTAGCTCCGTCTTCGAGAGTTACGAGAAGACGATACATCTACCGCTATGTTTCATTGATTAGTTTACCGTACTTTGGTTGTGTACATCATGTTTTTTTTTTTTTTTTTTGAGAAGGGCTGTCCTCCGCTACCATACAAGACCTCGACTATTCCTCGGGAAACTAAAGACAAAGAACTCATCGCCACGCCCCCACTTAAATCACAAGTGCTCAGCTGGGGAATCGAACCTGGGATCAGTGCGCCTAATCACACAATTCCAATTACGCCCTAACCAACTGAGCTACCGATAGGTGGGTGTTGTGTACATCATGTTCGTACAAAAAAAAAACGAAAAAAAATCAGTTACTTCAGTAGAATACGTAGCCTATACCTTACGGACATGGACTACACAGTCTAGACGATTGAAGCACGAGTACATGACATGTTTATTAAAAGATAGAAGAAAAGGGGGCATGCCCCTGCTTTTCTCCAACTAAGATTGCGGGAAAACATAACCTTATTGTTTTCTTTATTAATATGGTATCTGGTGTATAACTTAGTACTCTGCATTAGTTACGGGGTTGTCTTAACCAACCTTCTTCGAATTTGTTTTGTCTAAATCAATTTGTTATTTGGCCAAAAAAAAATCCCCGATTCTCATTTCCGACACTCGATGGAGCGGCATCGATCATATAAAGTCTGACTTACAACCGTGGTAACGGGGTCGTTATCACGTGGAACTAATCGACGGGCAAAATAAAAAGCGTCGTTTTTGTAGTATGTATACTTAATTGAATTCGAATGTCATGTCTAATAATACTTATTTGAGATTCACAAGAGACCCACCATTTCTAATAGCCAAATTCAATTTAAATATTTAGCAAGAAGAAAATTCATTTTGAATACTTAGATTAGGTTATGCAATAATTTCTTCAGAATTTTCCCGCTCGGATCAGGTGATGACGTGGATGGCTGCAAGAGCACCGGCAAAGAAAGGACCCGGGACCCACACTAAAGGTGCGTTTGTTTTAGGGAAAGTGTTTTCCGAGAATCTGTATTCCAGACTTCGTTTGGTTCACCGAAAATGATTAGTTAATCGAAAACACTTTTCGACCAAGAAAAACATTTATGTATAAAATTAGGAAAGTGAATTCCCTAATCTAAGAAGGTGAAAACATTTTCCGAAATTACTTCCCTTTACCTTTTTAATATTTTATTCTTTTCTTTCTTTTTTTATTTTTATTTTTAAAGATAAAAAATATTTGAAAATTTGAATATTTTGTTTTACCTGAGATGAAATCATGGGATTGAAATTATTTTCCAAATGAGATCCAAACACCAAAAAATATTTTCGATCACATATTACCAAACAAAGGAAAACTAACTATTTTTCTGAAAAATAATTTTTCGGAAAACATTTTTCCAAAAACGTTACATTTTCCGTGAAACAAACGCACCCTAAACATTTGTTGTTTCGTCGCCGCACCGCGCTCATCCCGACCGTCCACGCGGTATTCCCCGCTCCGTTATCCTACGAACAGCTCCCCCCCACGCGCCTCGCTTGCCGGCGCCCGCACCACAAAACGCTCGCCGGAGCCACCGAGCCACGCGCGCCCCATTCCCGTTGACCTGGATTTTATCGAGCGAGGATTCGAGTCAATACGAGACTGTATTTAGGTCCTGCGGAGGAATAATCCATAAATGCTTGTCTAAGAAAAATTTAACATGAAAATGATTGATTTTTCAATGCGTTGTCCTTCGCGAAAAACTTGATGTATTTTAAATAGCCACCATTTTTTTCCATAATTACTCAACAGGTATTCAAAATAATTATTGACGGAATCCTTAAGATTAACATGATTAGTTAGAATGATGGGAGATTTCTTGTTTAAGAACTAAAATTCATCTGTTCAAATATTATCGATTGCGTGTGAACTGTACCGAGTGAGGTTAGCTACACGGGTCAAAAGTCTGAATTTAACCTGTTGATGGAGTTTACGGGGTGTTTCATAAATCAAAGTCCACGCTCAAACATCTCACCTTAAGCAACACTTCACGACAGTTCTAAGGGTGCGTTTGTTTCGCGGAAAATGTACTGTTTTTGAAAAATATTTTTCAGGAAATCATTTTCCAGGAAATTGAGTTCATTTTTCAGTGTTTGGGTAAAACCTAAAAAAAACTTGAAAAGTATTTTCAGTTGTTTGGTAAGGAAAATCTGATGGTGAAAATTATCAAATTTTTTTGTATTTTTTAAATTATTTCAAATTATTTGTTATTTTTAAATTATTTTTATTAAGAAAAAAAATACATGAATGTTTTCCTTCTTATAAAGAAAAGAAAAAGAAAAAGAAAAAGAAAAAATAAAGAATATTAACAAATTCAAGATGGGCAATTCCGGAAAGTGTTTTCACTTTCTTAGATAAGGGAATTCACTTTTCTAAAATTAAATATGATATTTGTGTTGACCGGAAAGTACTTTCCGTTGACCAAATCATTTTTGGAGAACCAAACTGATGAAAGTCCAGAAAACACTTTCCGGGAAAATATTTTTACCAAAACAAACACACCCTAAGTGTCCCGGAACAATATTTGAACTAAATAAAAAAAATAAAAGGCAAAAAATCAATCCAAACACGCCTATTACTTTCCAAGGATAATTGAAACATGCATAATTTACCCTTTTTAAGTACATATGATATTCCTTTTTTTAAAGTTTATGCATTGATTAAAAAAAATGATAATGATACAAATAGTCCTTGAATTTTGGCCCAATGCGCAATGTGGTCCCTAAATTTTTAATTTATTTATTGTGGTCTCTGAACTTTGGCTCAATATGCAATGTGGTGCTTGAACTTTTAATTTGTTCAATATGATCATTAAACTTTAGCCTAATGTGCAATGTGATTCCTTGGCTTTTAATTCAAGATCAGGGATAACATTAAACATTTTAAAAGAGTTTGTAAACTAAATTGAACATGCACCAAAAGTTTAAGGACTATATCGAACGAATCAAAAGTTCGGGGACTACATTGCGCACGTGCCAAAAAATTAATGAAATGACAACATTGAACGATTTTCATATATTTTAAGAACTACATTGAACATGTAAAAAAAAAATTCAGGGACCATATCGAACAAATTAAAAGTTCGAAAATCACATTAAATATTAGGTTAAAGTTCGGGAATCCTTTACGCCATCGGAAAAAGAAAAAAAAAACAAAAAAAAAAAGAGCCAACCGTTTGTTTGGAACATTAGCAAAGTTCAGGGAACCAGGGACGGACTGTATCGTCTCCCTCCATTTAATAGTCATCTCCCTCACTTTCTCTTTCCCTCTTTCTCTCTCTCTCTCTCCTACGCACCCTCTCGCGCAGAAGAGAGAGAGAGAGAGAGAGAGAGAGAGATTCTTACACACATACACATTTTTCCAGCGAAGGCGAAGCGCGCACCTCGTGAGCAGCGCGATCACTTTTCCTCTCTCCCCCCCTTCCCTTCCCTTCCTTTACTTCCTCGATCCGCCTGTAAATCCCACTGCTTCGCGGACCGACAGCGACCGGAAACCACCTCCCCGACACATAAGGCTAGACCCGCTTTTTGGTCCGTGGGGGGGGGGGGGGGGGTGGTGGTGTTCGAGCTGGGGATGACGTCGGACGGCGCGACGTCGTCGGCGACGTCCAGGAGGAAGCCGTCGTGGCGGGAGAGGGAGAACAACCGGAGGAGGGAGCGGCGGCGGAGGGCCGTCGCCGCCAAGATATACACGGGCCTCCGGGCGCAGGGGAACTACAACCTGCCCAAGCACTGCGACAACAACGAAGTGCTCAAGGCCCTGTGCGCCGAGGCCGGGTGGGTGGTCGACGAGGACGGCACCACCTATCGCAAGGTAACCAAAATTAGGAACCCAAGAAAAAAGATAAAAGAGTAAAAGAAGAAGGATCTCCCCACCCCCCATTTTTCTTTCTTCTTTCTTTCTTTCTTTCTTTCTTTCAAGCGTGTGTGTGTTTGGTGCTGGTGATATTAGATCTGTGCGGCGATTTGGTGTGTGAACTAGCTGTTTTTTGGTGGGACGGGAGCTGGTAAACTGTGCTAGTTCGAGTTTGACCTGATCTTTCTCTGAGGGTTTTCGTTTCACTTGTTTTGCGGTAAAGCTATCTTGGTTTTCTGGGTTGTGAAGTTGGAAGAAGCGTGCTTTTCGGGTTTCGATCTTCAGTTTCATATTATGAGATTGATGGGTTTTTGGCCCTTTAGTTTCTTCCTATTGATCTGTCAAGTGAATTGATGATTATGTGCGCCGCTGGTTTCGATCTGACTTTCCGGCAATTTTTTCAGCGAGAGAGAGACAACGGGTGAGAAAATCAGTAGTAATCATTGGAATTTCCAGAATAAGAAATTTTTGAGGTTCAGCTTGGTCTGATGAGTCCTACTTCGATGTGTCATTTGCCTAGTATTAATTGAAGTCTTGCTCTACTTCTTTCTCTCTCTCTCTCTCTCTCTCATATGCCCCTTCTTCCTACATGACTAACAGATCTCATTTATGAACCTTACTCTGTAGCATTGGAACTTAGAAGTTGGAGACCTTGTTCTTTGATGTTTAGCTGGAGCAAACAATCTGGGCATATAGAAGCTTTTAATTTTCTTCTCTGTTGCTCTTTATTGCTTCACTGTGGATTGTTGCGGCAATTTGGAGATATTAATTCGGTTAATTGTCGTCACTAAGTTACAATCCGTGATTCGGTCTGCAATGTTCTCCAGGGATGTAGGCCGCCCCCAATTGACATACCGGGAAGCTCGTACCGAGGCACACCATACTCTTCGCAAAACCCTAGTCCGCTTTCTTCTTCCTTCCCGAGCCCGATACCGTCCTATCAAGTCAGCCCCTCATCTTCGTCCTTTCCCAGCCCCACTCGAATTGAAAATAATGCCGCTTCCAACCTCCTTCCCTTTCTCTGTAATGCCATTCCTTCATCTCTCCCTCCCCTCCGCATCTCGAACAGCGCCCCTGTCACCCCTCCGCTCTCATCTCCAACATCTAGAAATCTGAAACCTATTCCTATCTGGGAGACCATCACGAAGCAGTCAATGGCTGCTTTCAATTACCCTATATTCGCCGCCTCTGCCCCTGCAAGCCCAACCCGCAACCGTCGTGTACCTCCAGCTACTATACCGGAGTGCGACGAATCTGATACTTCGACCGTGGATTCTGGCCAATGGATCAACTTCCAGAGATTTGCGCCGCCTCAAATTCCAACCTCTCCAACCTATAATCTCGTGAAACCCACTATGCCACAGAATTCCCTCAAAGATGCTGGTAAAGAGCAGGAAAGAGGTTCCGATTTCGAATTCATGAGAGGACAGGTGAAGCCATGGGAAGGGGAGAGGATTCATGAGGTGGGATTGGACGATCTTGAGCTCACTCTTGGGAGCACGAAGAATAGAAGTTGAAGCTCGAAGGCCAACCATGTATGTGGAAAGACTACTGATGGAAGTGTAAGATCAAAGCTGCAAACGCAATAGATCCTTACTCTAGCTTGTAGTTCATTCAGCTCCATGTCATAGTTTACTTGTCATTTTGTAAACATGCCTCCGGTTGCCAAAATTTTCATTTTATCTGAAATATGTTCAGTTTCATTCTTTTCATACTCATCATGGATGTCTTGTTTAGAGTTTTCCAGGCGCATGCGGTACATATGTCTACATCTTGTAGTTGATAATGAAACTATCATTTGTGATCTGTGTTTTGGTCCAACTAAACCAGATCCAAATGGATCTGAGATAGCTCCTTTTCTTTCTTGACTTGATTGCTGAGGGATTTGCGATGCCTTGCGCTGCTTTGCCCTCGTCTCCTCTTTAGGTGCATTTCCGAAACACTCGAAACGGCCTTGTGATCAATGGACTGGCCTTATGCCACCATGAAGGATCACCATATTCACAAAGGCTAAGGAGAGCCAAGTACTTTCATAGAGTCTGAGGATAAAGAAGCGGTGATAAAGATGGCAAAGCGGATAAATTTCTCACAACCTTACATCAACAAGGCAGTCCTCATAACGTAATGTCAACAACTTCTTAATACACACAATATTATACAAGCGAATAGACAAGAATAGCTATACTAGAACATCGTTAAGTTGCAAATGCTCCACCGTATCGAGACCCTATCATTTTTCCCTCCTCCGAGTTATTGTCATCGGTTAGCAGGTAAGTTTTTGCTCTAATGAGTTTCGACTTTGAGGTGGGCGCGGGCTCCCGAACCTTCGTTTGTTACTTGTGTCTCCTCTGTCTTAGGTTTGAAGTCCCTCTCGACAGCTGCATTGCATTCTCTGTATCTGAAGCATGACAATAGATGATCATTGACCATTCCCGCGACTTGCATGAACGAGTAGATGACAGTCGGCCCGACGCAACAGAAGCCTCTTCGCATCATGTTCTTGCTAATGAACTCTGCTTTCGGCGTCTTTATGGGCACTTGACGAGCATAACGGAATCCATTTCTTATAGGCTTGTGATTAACGAAACTCCAAATGTAGTTACTGAAGGAACCAAACTCCTCCTGAATCTGCAGATTAGATGACAACATTCATTCAATGATCTTCTCCGTGGCATTGTACTTGTTATCTTAGCAATCGGATTGGATTGGTGGTTTCCCTCAATGTGACACTCATTCAATTACACATTCCGGAGCTGTAAGGCTATATTTGAAGAGCCTCTTCACTTCTAGTTTTCCAAGTGAGAATCAGAAAATAACAGTAATGGTGATTGTTTGACTGAAAAATTGTGCCTTTATCAGATATTACTCCACGAGATATCATGAATAAAATTTCATATGATTCATACTAGGCGAGCATATTTCCGAATGTTCGAGTATCATATGCTTAGAGAAGGTATTTACCTTGATGGTCTGTTTGGCGTTCTCAATGACTGCACGGAGCTTTGGTTCAGATAGCAATGGTTTTCCATTTACTTTCACACGGAGCGTCTTCTCTTCAAAATGAGCAACGCTTGATGGGTCAAAATTGTCAAAAGACTTCCTGCCAATGATCCAAGGACAATCCTCAGGTGGGCGTGAAAACTACTTGGACTAACTTAAAAGGAGTAGAAATCTAACAAAGAAAGCAACCTGAATACATCTCTCAGCTGTAGAATCATGGGCCAGCTTAATTCTGCCAATGCCTGTGAAAAGACCAGCAGCTCAAAGAGCTTCCTATCATCATGAACAGGAACACCCCATTCTGCATCATGGAAGGAAGTATACAGAGGATCTGCGAAGGAAGCCGAAATCCCGAATTAACTGAAATAGTCACCTCACCACCACCGAAACAATACAAAGATGCATAACAAAAAGATGCAAATACAAAATTATACCCGTGCCCAAAAGAATACAAAGATTACATTCGTATTTGAGCAGAGAACTCTGCTATTCTGCCTCTTAAAGACCCTTAATCTGAAGATGCAAATATCAAAAAGACAGATTTCTGGATTTAGTGTTTTCGGGTAAATGGTATTCCCTATTCTAGATATGCTGTTTAATTATTTTTGAGAAGTGAAACAATTTGCATGAATTCCTCGATGAAGAACAGGAGAGAAGTATCCTTACTACATTCTAAGAAGCTCTTTGTACGAACTTTTTCTTTTTCAGTGCAAAAACTTGAAAGTTCAAGCAGGGTGACAAAAACTCCTTCTCTCCAATATAATCACTGATGCACATACATCTTGGATTGCTTATTGAGCACACAGTAGATAAAAATTCTCAAAGACAGCCACTTCCATAAGCAGAATTGAGCTTATAATAAAATAACTAATGACAAATAAAATGGTTAACCAAGTTCCTCACCTGAATTCGCTGTGATCCAGTCGCACCGTTTGAACGGACCAGAAATGCCACCATCCTCAGCACCGGGGCCTGCCCTTGCTCCGACGCTCTTCGCCGTCCTCCTGCCCTTTGCCATCTTCTTCACAGAGGAAGCGCTGCTCGAGTTCGAGTTCGAGTTCGAGTCCGAGGAGCACGTGCTGTCCACGGAGGCGCCGCTCCTCACAGCCAAAGCCGGCACCTCCGCAGCCGGCTTCCTCGGCTTCTGCGGCTCACCCCGGCGCTTCGGATCTTCGGCAATGGCGACTCTGTTTCCTCCGGGGCCGAGGACGGCTCGCGGCTCGGCCACGGGCTTAGCCACCAGCCGGGGCTTAGCGGGAACAGGCATCGCCGCAGACCTCCTTTGAGCTCTGGCTCGAACACTTCGCGATGGCCGAACTTAAAAAAATTTGAATTGGTGGGAAGCGGGTCACTTGTCAGTGCAGTGTTGTACAGCAAGGGAGGAAATTGAAGAGAGTTCAGGTTGAAATGAGAGGGAGAGAGAAGGAGAAGAAAGCGTGAAAGAGACAGAGCGAGAGACGAAGAAGATGGAGCAGCCGAAACAGCACAAAAACGACTAGGAAACGAACTGGCGTTTCTGGCGAGATTTAAAACGCGGAAGCTTAAGCTTTTTTCGGATTGTCGTTGCGCTTGCGGGGGGTGCGGAGGCAGGCCACCGGTAGCAGCCGGTGGCCGTCGCTCGCGTGCCGGTCACCTTCTGTCTCCAGAGCTTCGGAAATGCATGGGGAAACATTCTTTCGCAATCCCGATTTTGCCACCATTCGTTCGACAAAATTGCGGCCTTACCCCACATTCTCTTTTTGCCTCTTTTGATTTTGGAAACATTTCCCAAAAAATCATGAACATTACATTTCTGAAAAATCAGCTGGCCACGCTCGTGATTTTCAAAATATCGACTGCACAAGTCATGAAAAACCAGTCTATATCACTATTACGATATTTTGTTATTTGGATGCGTAACAATTATCTGAAACATTATTTACCAAAAATTCTTTTCAATAAAATATCGGAAGCGCGCGGCTTTCTCTTATTTTAATTATGCTTAGAGAAATAGACATCGGATATATGTAAACAGCGGGATCTTTGGGAAGGGGAAGTGCATTCGCTAAATATCATTCATTATACACACGATAATCAAAAGTGAATTTTCACATATTATGATTTTACTTAGAATAATTTCAAAGACAAAATCAAAAGGCCTATATAGGTAAATAGCATTCACGTAATTGTACTAGCTGAGAATATTTTATTCACCTACATATGGCTGAAACATGAGGGCCATGCATGCTTTGAGAAAGTGATTTTTGAAATACGTTGGTGCAAAGTGCAAATCCAATAATGACCCAATCATGCTAATCTACTGATATATATGATTACGGCGATAATTGAAGATTTTCTCCTTGGTTGAGGTGAAACCTAACATCGCATGATTGTTCTCCTTTCGTAGGCCAAGTTAGAATCCCTAGTTTCTATCACTTTCTAATTGAATAAAACGTGCAATTCGAAACACATTTGACACCCAAAATACAAGTTGTGTGAAGCATTCAATTAGATGGACATGAATGGCGTCTCTAATTGCGTATTTGTGAGAAATTATTTCTATATTTCCGTGTCTGAATCACACTTTTTAATTAACCACAAAATTTTGTTTTGTCTGATCGAATCTTTGAAATTTGCATAAATTTTCTGATACAAATCCTCTGCACTAATCTCGATCAATTTGCACTAACGTGTGGCTATTGGACAGTGCCGGAGGATGGCGTGAAAAAAGATTGTGCCTCCGTAAAACCCATCCCCATCGTGCAAAACAATAGAAACTGTAGGCCTATGTGGATAAGCCACCGTGGAAAATTTTGCATCCGTGGACAAGACATCATGGCTAGAAAAGTTTGACGGCCACATCAACTCGTATTGGCCGAAATTGGTGCCCGATGAATTTGAATAATATATTTATGCAAGTTTAAGGAGTTGTGACTTTAAAATGTACTCCTTGCTAACATTGGGTGAAGCGATTAGTAACCTCACCAAACTCGGGGTGATTTTCCAATAAGGGCCGTGTGCTCGTCCTCTTTTGAGGCGGTCTATCATACTGCGTTCCTTATTTTAATGTGTCAGTGTTCGCACGCCCTGCTTTTCCTAATCCCCCTAATAGAAAGGAATACCCTTTAGCTGTTTTACATCCAAGGATGTCGGGATCCATTTGAAGTTTTAGACGAAGCAGTTTTACCTCTTGCTTAGGGGGCACATGCTATACTAATCAAGTGTCAAGTAGTAGTAGTTAGGCATTGGCAAGGGCGTGGAGAGGGAGGATGAGGGTCGGGTCGGGTCGGGGTTGTGAATGAGGCGTTGATGGGAGGGCAGAATAGGGAATTTGAGCCCCATGGGAACCGGGACCGGGAGTTGGCGGTCAAAAGAGAAAAAGGCAATTGGGAACGTTGTTTCTAGGCTAAGGGTCGCACTCAGTCGGGTGTGTTTTGGGGCTCGGTTGGCTTTGTGTGGAAGCCGCTCTTCCTTGCTTTACCGTTAACAAAAAGAATCCAAAGGAAGAAGGGGGGGCAACGAACACCACCAGCAAAAGCCACACTCAAAGGTCGGAAGATGGTGGGTGGGTAGCCAACGGCTACACAAGAGATAAAGACCTGGTCCATCTGGGCACAAGCCATTGCTTTCCATGATGTGGGCTCTTGCTTTGTTGGCCCATTAGCTGTTTTCCGAGGTTTTGCTGGTCGTGTTTTTGCTCGGGACAGTTTTTGATGTGAAGCTCGATTGGTCGAGAGCGAGAGGCCAAGTATGAAGAAGCACCCCGGCCTAATACGTTGCACAGCCTATCCGTGACCAAAAGAAGTTTAATTTTTACAAGCTAGCTGGATCGTGATAATTGGTAAACGTGTCATAAGGGCAGATGTCATGTTGCGTGGTTTTTGATATATGATATGTGCACGCGGTAGAGTTGTCTTTCGCGATATCACAAGTTCGAGTTAAATCGTAAGACATCCCTCGGTTGGCTTATGGCTTGGGTATCTTTTACCTCGTGCATGGAGACATTCTAGCTTCTATCATGTCGATGGAACTGTAACGATGGGTCCTTTAATAAGAGCCCTTTCGGTTTAAGTAGCTATGGTTTCAAATGAAACATTCTATAGCGAAGACATCTATAATAACCCCGAGAGGGATAATTGTTGGGAAAAAGGTGTATAATAATAATGATGCGGAAGCGAAACCCTTTCTCCCTCCGTGCGTGATCAAGATTGGCAAAAAGAAAATAAGAGAAATGTAGAGACGAAGACACACGGATTTTACGTGGAAAATCCCTCGAAAAAGAAAAACCACGACGATCTTCCACTATAATAGTAGGATTTACAACAATATTTCTTCACTGAAAATTGATGGATCACCCTCACCTATTGGTGGATTACAACCTAGTACAAGAGGATAACAATCTCTCTCACAGAGGATCTTTCTTATCGAAAGAGGTTGTCGAAACCTTCGACCTCACCGACTCTCGTCGAATTTGTTTTTGATGTGGAATGTACACCAGATCTCACGTCACAATCCAACATGTCTCTTCATCCCCTATTTATAGAGAGCCATGAGACATCTCTTCCATGCTCTAGATTCTTCACCAATAAATAAGGTGGTCGTAAAGCATCTTTCCAAAGCATGGAGATTTGCAAAACTCTTCGTTTTCAATGCGAGTTGGTTGCATTGGAACTACGCGGTCATCAAGTTGGTTGCATTGGAACTACGTGGTCATCAATGCATTAATTCTCCCGACTAATTAAGGAGAATCCCAACAAATCTCCCCCTTCGACTTAATTAGAGGGGATAATTGCCATACCTGCACCTTCGCAACATTCATTGAACTTCTTCGACGGAATAACCTTGGTCATCATGTCGGACCAGTTCTCATCTGTGTGAACCTTGTCGAACTGTAAATGCTTCTCCTCTATCACATCCCGAATCCAATGGTAACGCATATCGATATGTTTTGAGCGAGAGTGATAGGCTGAATTTTTCGCCAAGTGTATGGCACTTTGGTTATCACATCTCAATACATACTTTTCTTGCTTATGACCCAACTCAAGCAAGAAGTTCTTCATCCAGAGCATTTCTTTACATGCTTCTGTGGCTGCAATATATTCGGCTTCAGTGGTAGACAGGGCAACGCATTTTTGGAGCTTCGACTGCCATGACACAGCTCCCCTTGCAAAGGTAGTTAGGTACCCTGACGTCGATTTTCTTGAGTCAACATCACCACCTAAATCTGCATCCGTGTATCCTTTTGACACGGGTTTTTCTTTGCCGAAACACAAACACCTTTTCGATGTACCCTGGAGGTATCGAAATATCCATTTGACAGCAGCCCAATGTTCCTTCCTTGGATTCGAAAGGAATCGACTCACAACACCGACTGCATAAGCAATATCGGGTCTGGTGCATACCATTGCATACATAAGGCTGCCAACCGCCGATGAATATGGCACGTTCATCATCTCTTCTTTCTCTTTTTCAGTCGAAGGACTCTATTTCTGACTGAATTTGAAATGTCCAGTAAAAGGAGTACTTACTGCTTTGGCCTTATGCATGTTGAATCTCTCGAGAATCTTCTCGATATATTTCTCCTGGGATAGCCATAATAGCTTCTTCGAACGATCTCGAACAATCTTCATCCCAAGGATCTGCTTTGCTTGGCCAAGATCTTTCATAGAAAAAGACTGGCTCAAGGCCTTCTTCAGTGCAGCAATTTTCTTTGAGTCTTGCCCATCTATCAATATATCATCGACATAAAGTAGAAGAATAATGAAATCACCACTAGCATACCTCTTAAAGAACGCACAGTGGTCAGCGTGAGTTTTCTTGAAGTCATGTTCCGTCATGAACGAATCGAATTTCTTGTACCACTGTCTTGGTGCTTGTTTTAAACCATAGAGACTTTTTTTTGAGTAGACACACTAGGTGCTCTTTTCCTGGAGCTTTGAAACCCTCGGGTTGCTCCATGTAGTTCTCTTCCTCTAGGTCTCCGTGAAGAAAGGCAGTCTTCACATCGAGCTGTTCAATTTCCAAGTCTAGGGAGGCGGCTATACCAAGGACAGCTCGGATCGATGGCATCTTCACTACCGGAGAAAATATCTCATCGAAATCGATGCCCTTCTTCTGATTGCATCCTTTGACAACAATTCGAGCTTTGTACCTTGGCCGTGAGCTGTTTTCATCAGTTTTGAGTTTATACACCCACTTATTTTTCAATGTTCGCCTTCCCTTTGGTAACTCAACTAGATCATAGGTATGATTCTCATACAAGGATTGCATCTCCTCCTGCATGGCTTTTACCCATTATTCTTTCTTATTGCTGGTCACTGCTTCTTCATAACTTTGAGGCTCCCCCTCTTCTACAAAGACTGTATAATCATCTGCAGGATATTTAATGGAGGGACGCTTGATTCTAGTGGATTGCCTCGGTTGAACTTGAGGCTCTGGTTCGACAGGTTCTGTCTCTGTCGTTTCGACATGCTTCTCTGTTGGTGGTTCGTCATCATCGCCCACTTCTTCATTGTTATTTTGTGATGA